AGTACCCTGGAGTATCAGCGAGTTACAGCATCATCCTTATCCGTTACATCTAATGATTTGAGAATTACAGTATCTTTTGGCCTTTACTTAAATCAGGCATGGGCAACCCGTGGACCACATGCAGCCCGAACCATGTGTTTGTGCCGCCCGTGGAGTGATTGAAAAATTCTATTTAATGTGGCCTGCAGTTCAGGTGGATGCAGCCAGTTTATGATGAGTAAAGCAATATTTATTTAAAGAATAATCTTCACACACAATTCGTTACTGTTTCATCACCTATGAGTAAATAACATTAGCATTATTCTGGTGGGTTTGTCTCATAAGTAAGAAAAATGCTGTAATTGTAGGAAAAATCAGTTTATTCACAGGCTGTTTCACTCGTCTTCTGTTCAATGCCAAGAAACTTTAACATATTACCTAAAAAATAATTAGGTTGAATTTGTTTCATAAATGGGAAAAAGACTGTGAATGTAAACTGAAAATATCGTATGGTGGACGTGAGGATAATCTGCTTCACTGTTCGTGCTAATACAATATTAACATTACTTTTGGGCTAGGTAGGGTATAAATTTTGGTGGGTTGGCCTGCATAAAAATACCTGAATCATAATGTGGCCCATGACTGAGGAAAGGTTGTCCATGCATGACTAAATTTACTGTTGTGTAAAAGACCACAAAGTTAGTGATAAATTCAACAATGTATCAAATGGGAAAGCAGCTTCTTGGTAAATACAATACATACAGTACAGTGGCAGTGGACACTAAGGTTATAGCTGCAGCAGAATCATAGTGTTGTCAACAATGGAAGTTTTATATAATCAAGGAATTATTGTCACACAGAATTAGCCTGGTACTGGGGTAGTTTAATGTTGATGATATTATTACAGTATTATTATTATTCAATTTATACAAGATGGTAATAAAGAAGATGAGTACTTTTCTAGGAGTAACTTTAAAGGTTTAATTGTCTTAGGTTTATTTTTAATCGTATCTAAAACAAGCATCAACATTACTGGCAGTGTAGGGATTATCTAGTAAACACTAGTCTAAATTCAGTGGATAATTGCCACCAAATCTGATCTTCTTTACTTGTTTTAAATAACTGGAGTTCTCTAAAGTTTACAGACTCAGATAATGTGCACACTACCTGTAATGCTGTCTGTCACCACTTGGGAATTACTGTACTCTACTCTATGCCTGAATCCATCTTTATGAAAACTTGTGAATATTTCTGTAAAAGCCAATTTTTCATCTTCCAGAGTGCAGATACACAGGACCTGTTAATTGACAAATGCTAGAGAATATACTAAAGTGATATAAAAGCGTTACTCTGAACTGTAGATAAACTTTTCATGGTAATATGTATTACATCAACAGATAGTGGTGAACGCACTCATGTACGCCATCCCGTCCATTTTCAACGTGCTGCTTGTATGTCTGGTCTTCTGGCTCATATTCTCCATTATGGGCGTTCAGATGTTTGGAGGAAAATTTTACAAGTGTATTGACCGAGTCACTGGCGAGATTTTACCAAAGGAGGTACATTATATGGACTTTGTCAGGTTGTGTGGCTCACTAGATAACTGATAAGAGTCTGATACTGAGAGTTAGCTGGTGAAACTTTATGTCATACACATAATTTTGAAAGGAAACACGTATCATTTTTTATTTAAGACCTCATATTTACATTTCAGGTTGTTGATGACAAGGAAGAGTGTTTGAGGAAGAATTATAGTTGGATCAATAGCAAGATCAACTTTGATCATGTGGGCTATGCTTATTTAGCCCTTTTTCAAGTGGTGAGGCTGGATGTGGGTTTGTTGCTACTGCTGGTCATAAGTAAACACATAACTTCATGTTAATGGACATCAAGAAAGCTCAATTGTACATGAAATTTGTAAAGGTTTTTGTCTCTCATTTTTTTATTTATAAGATAGATCCAAATATTTCACACGGTCACATTTACTGATACAATTACCTTTAACCTAGGCAACCTTTGAAGGGTGGATGGAGGTGATGGCAGATGCTGTAGACTGCCGAGGAATCAATAAACAACCCGACAGAGAAGCCAACATCTATGCCTATGTCTATTTTGTCATCTTCATTGTGTGTGGATCATTTTTCACTCTCAACCTCTTCATTGGTGTTATCATTGATAACTTCAATGCACTAAAAAAGAAGGTATGTGTGGTGGCAGTGAGATATAGTACAGTAACTCTGCTGATGTTAAGTAGTATTGCACCATCACTGTTTGGACCTTCACACCCAGATAAACATGCTAACATTATTTAGTATGCACCCAGTTAATTTTGAGCTAGTGAGAAACATTTGGAAAGGCACCCATTATTCTCTCATTAGCGGCTTTAAAGCTAAACTTTGACTCTTAACCCTGTGCAGTATTGCAGCAGCAGTTGTGATGGCACAATTTTGTTCTTGAGATTGTTGTTGGGCACCAGTGGTAAATATGCTTACACGACTAGGATATTTGTTACTGTAGTACGTAGGGTATCATTATTGCAGTACCAGAAGTAGATGTAAGGTGTGTTACTCTTGGTGTTCCATGTCCCCCACCCATTCTTTTTCTCACACATACTCTAACATTCTATTGTGTAGTTCTTTAAGGCAGCCAACTATGTATTTCTTATTATTTCGATAACTTTGAAAAGCAGTCACAAATTTCAAGAGTTTTTGCCATTGATATGCATTATTTCAAGATCAATGCTAAGTGCATGAGGATTCTTATCATGATACGTGCAGCCTTTCTGTAAATCATTTATTGAAATTTTCGAGTTTGGCATTCAAAGATTCTTATAAGAATCAGGCATTTGAAAAGAAAAATATTGCACAATTTTCTAGAAGCAACTGGCTAATATCATCTTTATTTCAATCTCCAGATATAACTGGCAAAATTCTCGCTGGAGAAAACGCTTTCTAATATTTTCACTTTGTTGTTACACTCATGTATAAGAACACCCCTCAGAGCTTCACTTGAGCCTGAGGGAGCTGCTAGCTGCCTAAAGCAAAGCTGATATAAGCCCTTGTGTGACCATAAGGCTGTTCTCTGGCCCGAACTCTGAAACAGCACTTGAGTAATTACTAGTTTACTTATCTGTTCATTCAATAGTTGCATGTCTTATGATAAGCCGAACTTTTTTTGAATATGCCGACAAAAGTGCATGTTTTATTTTTATCAGTCGAGCGATTTCTAAGTAAGTAGGCCGTTTGATCATTAAATTAGTCAGTAATTTATTGGCCTAACTAGTCATGATATAATTGTAGTTTAATAAGTAATGAATAATCTTTAAATAGGTTGATTTTTTATGGATATTGATATATAAATTTTACTGAAATGGTCATTAATACAGTAATAATGATAATAGTTACATAAGTAGTATTAAAAATGATATATTTTTGCTCAGTCATCAGTGACCAGCATATAAAACTTAATTATGCTTTATCAGTCAGTTGTGTTTCGTGCATGTGTTATTAATTAACTAATTCACTCACATGTTCTTGAAAGAGTAAAAACTAATGCGCTATTTTCAAAGTCTAGCATTAGAGAATTAAGGTGTGATAAATTGAACTACAATATATTTGATAATAATTGTTTATATTACTATATATGCTTCATTATTTAAGAACATATTGATGCAGATATTAGTGTTGTAACAAATGTTTCATTTACAGTTGTAAAGATAACAGTCCATTATGGAATGTACCTGTACTTGTATCTGATACAGCCATCGTGTATAGTCCATTATCATATATAAATAACCTAAAATTAATTATTTATGTACTTAGGGACTCAAGTGATGTTGACCAGTTCAGACCTCTTTTTCTCTTTTTTTTTCAATGCTAATGCAGTTTTATACCGGTGTTAGAGCAGACTCATAGCCAGTTAGCTTTCGATGTGTTGTGGTGTTATCCTTATTCCTCTGTCCCCCATATTTTTTTTTTATTTGTAAAATAATAACTATGTGTGCTAGTGTGCTTTAACACCGGTGCTACTGCGCTACTGAGCTTAACACTGGTATCTATTTCACGTCTGACGCTCTACAGATGGTAAGTTTCCAGCACTCCGCCTAAAGCGCTCCAGGCGTCCCGTGTCGTTTTACTGTTACTTTAGTCTTTAGCATCTACTGTACTTGTTTGTTGCGAGCATGATCAAAGTTTTTATATTTTTAAAAGCAACATCCGCTGCTCCAACATACTCAATGATACTGGAAAGTATTGCTGGAGTAGAGGCAGGGAGGAGACAAGGTGTAGCTTGGGAAGTACTCCACTGTACTGTACATCACTTCCAAGTATTAGTACAATTATAGAAGCTGAGTAATTTAGATTATTGTTATATGTTTGCCTAATCAGGTACAGTAAGTAAGTAGATACGTAGTTATACATGCTCATAATGAGGTGGTAAATATAATAATTCTGCAGGAGTAATGTAGACTTGATAAATAGTTGAACAAGCTTTGCCCCCTCCCTGCCCCGAGATGTATTGATAAGAAGCGTTTTAATGGTTGCATGTCTAACCATGCATTGAACATATGCCTCGTGTTCGAGCATTTTACAACTACAGTCCCATCCCTTCAAGGTATAGGATTCAGTCACAAATTTATCTACTTTTTAATTTTCAGATGAATAACTCAATTAAACCATAAACTGAGCTAGATCCGGAATGATTTAATTTTAAATGCTAAATAAAAAATTGTAAAAAAGATGCTAGTCTTTGCATAGTTGCATGGATAGTTTTCTGATAGTTTACAGATGTGAATCGGCATTCCATCTTAATATTTTGAGCTCTGGCACTTACAAGATCTAATGCAAATGATGCAGTTACATTTACAGTCTTACCCTTGTATCAGTATTACCCTTTGAAGCACATATTGCTGTACAGAGCAGCTGGCCAAATTTTTTGTAATTTCTGATATATTCATGCTTTTTTATATATACAGTACATATATATGTAACTTCCTGGCATTCACCCCGTGTTGTTCTGTTATAACTTCTGCTTTGAGATAACCTGCTCCAACTTAATGTAAGTGTTAACATCAGAACTTTTGTGAAATTATTCTAGCTGTAACTTGACGTTCACTAACAATGTATTTGATCAAGGATGTAATTGAAGATGGTAATTCATTTAATTAATCTTTTATGGCCCAGTTGACAATTATCAGAGAGAGTTGATTACTGTACTGCTAGTTACCTAATACTGTAGTTGAGTCTCAGAAAGTAATATTCACTTACAATACTTCAGTAACTTCCCTCCCAGAGAGAAAAACAAAATTCTAATATTGTAAGATACAGTATAACTAATGAGGTGACTTTGGACATTTCCCTAGTAACATTTACATTATGAGTGATATTATGTGAAGACATTTAAAGACACAATTGATTATTTAACAGCTGGCTTCAATTCTATAGTGAGCAGCACCATTTTCTTTGTTCATATCACACAATAGTTTTTGTTTATATAATATTTCATTATGCTAATAAGATTTTTCTCATGAATGTAAACAGTAGATTCCATGGGTGCTTCAGTATTTTATTTTGGTTGCATTTTATTTATTTTTTTGCAATTTATTGATGCAAATAATGATCATGATCTTAAATATACATATATGAGCTGAATACTTTTAAACTGTCTCATCTATTTCTCTCTCACTTTAATATTTAATTTGACTTCATGTTATTCCAAGTATGATTAATCTAATTTAGTTATTTCTTTACTGTTCATGTAATTATAATCTTCATTTTTTCCTATGAAGTTATGATTGCTCTTACTTTTCATACATTTTTGCTATTATTATCTTTATTATTATTACCACATTATTATTATTATTACTGCCATAATTATTTTTATCATTGCTGTTGTAGTTATCATTTATTATTTCTAGAATTCTTCATTATTATTTTTCACTATCAATACCATTACTATACTTTAACCTCCCCTGACCTACGCAGTACGAGGGTGGAGTACTGGAGATGTTTCTAACGGACTCCCAGAAGAACTACTACACAGCCATGAAGAAACTCGGCCGCAAGAAGCCACAGAAGGTCATACGGCGGCCTAAGCACCAATATCACGCTCTCTTCTACGATATTGCTGTGTCTCGGAGGTACGTTCTGGGGGGATTGTTGGCAGTGTACGTTCTGCGGTTACTGTTGATGGAGCATGTTCTGGGGTTACTGTTGACGGAGCATGTTCTGGGGTTACTGTTGACGGGGCACATTCTGGGGATACTGTTGATGGGGCACGTTCTGGGGTTACTGTTGATGGGGCACGTTCTGGGGTTACTGTTGACGGCGCACGTTCTGGGGATACTGTTGATGGGGCACGTTCTGGGGTTACTGTTGACGGGGCACGTTCTGGGGTTACTGTTGACGGGGCAAGTTCGGGGGTTATAGTTAACGGGGCACGTTCTGGAGTTACTGCTGTTTCTGGGGTTACTGTTGTTAGGAGCGCGTTCTGGGGTTACACGTTCTGTTGTGAGTTGACGTTCTGGGGTTCACGTTCTGGGGTTACTGTTGATGGTGCACGTTCTGGGGTTACTGTTGACGTGGCACGTTCTTACTGGGGGGCGTTACTGTGACGGGGGCACGTTCTGGGGTTACTGCTGATGGGGCACGTTGGGGTTCCTGTTCATGGTGCATGGGCTGTTGATGGGGCGCGTTCTGGTTACTGTTGATGGGGCACGTTCTGGGGTTACACGTTCTGGGGTTACTGTTGATGGTGCACGTTCTGGGGTTACTGTTGATGGGGCACGTTCTGGGGTTACTGTTGATGGTGCATGTTCTGGGGTGCCATGATGTTGATGGGGCACGTTCTGGGGTTACTGTTGATGGGCACGTTCTGGGGTTACTGTTGATGGTTACGTTCTGGGGTTACTGTTGATGGGGCACGTTCTGGGGTTACTGTTGATGGGGCTGTTGATGGGCGTTCTGGAGTTACTGTTGATGGTGGTGCGTTCTGGGGTTACTGTTGGCAGGCGCGTTCTGGGGTTACTGTTGATGGGGCGTTCTGGGGTTACTGTTGATGGGGCACGTTCTGGGGTTACTGTTGGCCGGGGCGTTCTGGGGTTACTGTTGATGGGGCGTTCTGGGGTTACTGTTGATGGGGAGCACGTTCAGATGGGAATTGCACTGTTGACGGGGCACGTGGGGTTACTGTTGATGGTGCACGTTCTGGGGTTTACTGTTGACGGGCACGTTCTGGGGTTACTGTTGATGGGGCACGTTCTGGGGTTACTGTTGATGGTGCACGTTCTGGGGTTACTGTTGATGGGGAGCTGGGGCTGTTGTTCTGGGGTTACTGTTGACGGGGCACGTTCTGGGGTTACTGTTGATGGGGCACGTTCTGGGGTTATGGGGTTGTTCTGATGGGGCATGGTTCTGGGGTTGCACTGTTGTGATGCGTTCTGGGGTTACTGTTGACGGGGCGTTCTGGGGTTACTGTTGATGGGGCACGTTCTGGGGTTGTTGTTGATGTTGATGGGCGTTCTGGGGTTACTGTTGATGGGCACATTCTGGGGTTATTGTTGATGGGAGCGCGTTCTGGGGTTACTGTTGATGGTGCGTTCTGGGGAGTTATTGTTGATGGTGCCGTTCTGGGGTTGTGTTGGCGGGGCACGTTCTGGGGTTATTGTTGATGGGGCGCGGGATTCTGTTGACTGGGCGTTCTGGGGTTACTGTTGATGGGAGCACGTTCTAGGGTTACTGTTGACTGGGCACGTTCTGGGTTACTGCTGATGGGGCACGTGGTGCACGTTCACGTTCTGGGGTTACTGTTGACGGAGACGTTCTGGGGTTACTGTTGACGGGGCACATTCTGGGGATACTGTTGATGGGGCACGTTCTGGGGTTATAGTTGATAGTGCACGTTCAGGGGTTACTGTTGATGGGGCACGTTCTGGGGTTATAGTTGATTGTGCACGTTCTGGGGTTACTGTTGACGGGGCACGTTCTGGGGTTACTGTTGATGGTGCACGTTCTGGGGTTACTGTTGATGGGGCACGTTCTCTACTGTATTCTAACAACGTACAGTGTATTAATGATGGAAAGTGTTGATTTTTATATGCCCACTACTTGTACTCATATTATGGAGTGGTACTGTCTGCCTTCTGTTAGTGTTTTGAGTGTCCATCCTTTAAACTACTGTACTGTTTATAGGAATCTTTTTGATAGATTCTTTTCATATCCCTGAAGGAGTTTTACTCATTAGAAAGTATTGGGTGACATCACTCTTGATATATTCTGCGTTTATGAGTTCCAGAATATACTTTACCCTTAAGCTTATGAAAAAATACTGCATGATATTTTCCCACCATTTTGCAGCTTTTATGAGAATCATATTATTTTTCTCATCACAAACTAGATTTGAGATCTCCATTTTCGTGTTGATCTTCCTCAATATGGTGACGATGGCCATCGAGCACTACCACCAGTCACGCACAGTTGCCTTTACGTTGGAAGTCTTCAATGCCCTCTTCACCACTATCTTTGGCCTGGGTAAGATACCTGTTTTATGTTTGTTAAATTTGATCAACTGTATCACTGAAATCCATATGAATGTTTTTGATTACTTTCTGTACAGTATTGATTGTTGTGTGTGTGCAGGTGCAGGTGTGCGTGCAGATCATGATGATGTATACAGTATAGTCTGCATTTACGCAGTCAATTGAACCTGTGGAGGTTCGCGTAAAACGAGAAACGCGTAAACGAAATAACAGAACATATGGGATTAATTGAAATAGAGACTGAGCCGACCTCCAAACTAAGTACACTTTTTCTGACACAATACGTAAGTTGTAGTAAAAATAACATCTTAATTTTATGATGGTTTGCACACACAATTAATATTTAAGAGAAATGTCAATAATATTAGGTTTTTTAACACTTACGTTAGTAGAAAAGATGGCTGGGCACACGGGGATGGGGGGTTGGTTCCGAGGCAGAGGGCAGATTATTGGCCCTCACCTGAATCACTTGTATCAATTGTATCACTGTCCACCACAGAGGCTTGTAAGGGCCTCTTTGTCAAACCCCTCAAAGTCCATATCCTTACTATCACTATCACTATCACTATCACTATCACTATCACTATCACTGACTTGGGCCGGCTGTGGCGGGTGAAGAACTTGGTAATGTTTTGATGACTGGGCGACCTTGTGCGCACCCTGCCCGCGCCGCTTCCTGCGTAAATGATGAAATTTACCGCATAAATCCAGACTATACTGTATAGCAGTAAGGTGAGCAGTTAGGGGTACTGCTACACATGCTGTATTTATTTTTGTTAAAGTGTTTAGGAACTCTTTAAGCAGAGTAGAGATCACAAAGGCTGTGGTGAACATGATGGGAAATGTGTTCTATTATTCTCATGTTTCAGGTACTACACTCTGGCATGAACTTATTTTATATAATAATATTAAATTATTCTTTTTCTCTGGTTCATTGTGATGGTCATAGTTAAAGGTAGACCCTGATTTATGAACCTTCACTTTATTATAATTAGAAGTTTGGAAAAAAATTACTGTTGTGTCCCACACCTTGGTTTATGAATGAAAACCATGAAATAACAGAAAAAACAATTATGAGATGCTGACACAACTTCATTAGTTTCTAAATGCAAGGGATAAAAGTGTGTGTGAAGCTGGCCTTACATCGGAATATGAAAGTTGCAGCTGGCCCGCCCGGTTTGAAATATTACTGTAGGGTATTGTGATTTTTCATTTGCAAATAAGCGGGGTATACTTTGGAAATATGGAATAGGGATGTTAAAATATCAGTTGTGGATAAGTGGGGTTGCAAACAGCAAGGTATTCCTGTATAGGAAAATATGGTTTTCTTGAATAATTTATAAACAAATTAATACCCAAGTTAATATCAAATGCAATTTTATAAAACTTTCTTACGATAAGTCCTCCATTCTTGAATGACATTCTGAATATGCATTTTATTATATTTCATTAACATTTGTTTACTTTGATACTAATGTATTTTCTCTCCTGCATACAGAGGCTATAGTCAAGATCATTGGCTTACGCCATCATTATTTCACGGTACCGTGGAATCTGTTCGACTTCATTCTCGTGTTTGCATCCATCATGGGCATCCTTCTTCAAGATGTGCTCACCAACTTCCCCATCAGCCCGACACTTCTCAGGGTAGTCCGGGTCTTCAGGATCGGACGCATTCTCCGTCTTATCAAGGTACGTGGCAGTGATGGCCGTGAGGTACCCCAGGAGTACCTCAGGAGGATGTTGTGGGACCCTGCAAGTTTGTTGTGGTGGATGGTTACCCCTTGGAGTGCTACAGTTTGATGTCGTTTGGTTAAATGTCTGTACAGTACAGTAATCCTTGTGGGCTGAGTTGGTTCGTTCCTGCAAGTTTGTCATTGTCGATGGAACCCCCAGTGGAGTATCTCCTTCGTAGGTGTTGTTAAGTGCAGTATTTGTTTGCACATTGCTTTAGGGTGGTTTGAGGAGGTTCCTGCAAGTTGGCTTAGGATGAAACCCCTTCATGTACAGTATCTCAGCTTGGTGTTGTCTATGGGGGGCTCTCACTGATAGCTAAATAATACCTTTATATCCCTGATGAAGTGTTGGGACCTATCAATAATATATTCAATAGCAAGTTAAATATTTTTATGTAAATTTAAAGATGTAGATATCCATTAATCTCTAATATAACATTATTGGTTGGATTTTTATTTTATTTTTTTTTTTTTACCGTATATTGGTTGTTTTCCCAATGATACAGTATAGTCAAATGAAATACAGTATGTGCTGCGTAAGTGAATTTTATTGTCTCATCATTTAACTTAATGCATAAAACTTACTTTCTCTTTTGATAGTCATTCTGCAGTAGTGTTGACAGTGACAAGTGTAGAACTAATTGTTAATATATATACAGGTATACAATATTCATTTTTAAAGATTATAAAATCCTTGAGACAATAGCATGACATGCATATTGAATATATTACTCTGGCACCTGACATTGAAACATTAGAGCAGGTTCCTGTGGCAGAGGTCAAAGGTCACCATGACGTCCAACACACATGACACCCAGATGTCGGGGTCACAGTCATACTTGTTCACACTGATAACTCTTATCAATTATCAGATATCACTTATTAATGTCTAAACCAGGATATACTGTTATATAACATTTTTAGGAGTACAACATGGGTGCAGTAACCTCTTTGTTGTATATTGTCAGATTATATTAAATTAATGTGAAAATTATGTTCACATAGTAAGATCAGTGATGAATTGTGGTAAGGTAGAATTTTTCACACTGAATTATCATTTAGTGTTTGTCACAAATGGTTAAAATTAAAACAGTAAAACTTCATTTACTAATTTCTGTTTTCTGTATTTAATTAATTCATAATTGTATCCTCTATCTCTTTTTTTCCTATTTTCCTATTGTATTTTACCTACCAGAACACACGCATTGTCTGTATGTTTTATTTTATTTTATTTTTATTTTTGTATGTGTGTTAGTGTGTGTGTGCATACGTCCGTGCGTGTGTGCATGCAGGCATATGTGCGTGCATGTACAGTAATGGGAGAGAGATGAAGAGGAGGCTACTTTCTTAATTATTTGGTACTTGTACTGTTATGTGTCCAAGTACTGAGCTTGTATGGACTTGGGTAGCTAGACTGACTTGCAGATAAGACACAGATAAGATGGTTTAGATGACTATTTAGGACAGTTAACTTGAGACGTTTAAACCGTTCTCTTGACAATCCAGAATGATTTGAATGATAGTTTGGGGCACTTAAAAATGACTGGTGCAGATGATTCAAATTCTCAGTTAGGACAGTTTAAAGAAGTGCTTGAAATGGTTCAGATGAGAGTATAAAACAGTGGAACAGTTTAAAGAAGTGCTTGAAATGGTTCAGATGAGAGTATAAAACAGTGGAATTGATGACTTAAAACTGTCTTTATTCTGAAGGACAAAGATCAGCGTAGACGAACAGGTTACATTCCTGAGGCTTGTTTGTAAGTCCAACTTTAATCTTGTTGATATTGTAAAGAAAGAAATCAATTAAATAAAGGAAGTACAAAAGAGCTATACCTTACAGTACTCTTCAAGTCTTTGGCAATATATGTTCTATCTGGCATTTTCTTCCGATATAATCCAATCTCATCCACATTGAACACTCGTTCTGGCAGGTAATCCCCCTCAATGATGATGTTCGTATCTCTGAAAGTTCATAAGTCGAATGTTCGTAAGTAAAGAATCATCTGTATTTTGTACCCACAGTATCCTTGAGAGAATCATTGTGTGTAGATGGTAATATCCCAGAGAATAGTGTTTACGTTGTCCTCCTCTTCTGCTTTATATTTTCGTCTCAAATTCCCCACATTATCTTTCCTCCTTTCTTGGTCCAAATCCCTTATCTATGTTCACTCTTCAATCTCTTCTTTCTTCCAATACATTAAATATAATGGTTATCATAATGAAAGTTTGCAACAGGTGGAGTCTATGCCACATATGACTGTCTACCCTCTCAGTTTATTCTTAAGTCATTGTCTCACTTATCTTGCTATGTACATGTCAAGCTCCTTAGAGACCCGTAACCCGAGTCTGTACTGAGTGTTACGTAGCTTTTGGGTGTAGTGATGGGCTTGTAGTAACTGAGTGGGCATAGCTATACATTCTTATTGCAGGAAAGGAGTCTTTATAGTGTTGAAACAAACTCCTGGGGTACACAGGTGACAGCTCATGTGTCTGAAAATGCTATTTGTGAACCTGTTAAAATTAATTCTGATTTTCTGATTTTCTATGAATAACATAATGACAACCTAAAATACAGTACTTAGTAGCCACCACCTCCAGTAACAGCACAGCAGGAGACAGAAACCTGCAGCTTGTACAGGACCCCTCCCTCCCCCCCCCCCATTGCTGAGTGTGTGATTTCATTTTATGTGTTTACCTTATCCATCTAGCTGGTATAGCAGGCAGAAAATGAGGCATTTTCAGTGGAAATTTGCCATGAGTTATTTATATAGTACTGTACTGTACTGTACTGTACTGTACTGTACTGTACTGTGTAAGTGAAGCCTGAAGATGAAACATACCCTAACTGGTGCTGTACACTACTGTAGTACAGTATGTTGAAACACCTGTGCCATAAATCCATATTCATTGAAAATAAGAAAAACATAAATTGTTTCTTTTATAAATTTAACACTAAACCAGGAGATTGTTACCTTTAATCTTCTCTCTCCTCTTTATATCTAATATTACCTACAATTACAGTATATACTGAACATACGTGCACTATAAACACTCCTTACCTGTATAAAGTCCGCCATAATCAGCCATGTGTTAAAAGTAGTTGATTATGTGTAGGCTGTACATTGTACAGTGTTTTAACCATTTACAGATATTAACATATCTATAGCTATTATTATTTCCCATATATGAGTAACTCCATATTTTTTTAAAGAATATGTTAGTATCTGTCATTGGTTTCATGAGAAACTCATGAAAGTACCAAAATTACGTGATAAAGAACAGAACTGGAATGTCCATTTTTAACTTCCTTATTCCCAACAGCCGACGGTGAACGGCCGAAACTCCTTCTTCGGTCAGGTAGCCTTACATATTAACGTCCATAACCACTTGCAATATTGCACCTTCCACTTTGCAACTCCCATGTTTTCTTAAACTGTATTTTTCTTGGATTATTCCAAGAACACGCCCAGATGGACTGTGTTGTGCCCATCTTTCGCTTGTCATACAAAATCTTAAAAATTAAATTACTGTACACCATTTTACAGAATTTCTCCAAAATTTACATCAGAATTTTATATACTGTGCAGTACTACACAGTATATATATATATATATATATATATATATATATATATATATATATATATATATATATATATATATATATATATATATATATATATATATATATATATATATATATATATATATATATATATATATATATATATATATATATATATATATATATATATATATATATATATATATATATATATATATATATATATATATATATATATACAGGCTATATATATATATATATATATATATATATATATATATATATATATATATATATATATATATATATATATATATATAAAACACCTCCTAATGGGCTGAGAAAAGATATTAGAATCATCCAAGGATATTCAGGCTAGACCTTATATCCTTGGATTACGAATGTTTGCAGTTGGAGCACAAACAGTAAATCATAAGTCTTGTTATCTAAGCAAGTCAGTTAAACTGTGCATGGAAATATATAAATAGATAAGTAAATGTAGAAAGAAAATTATTCCATTCTTATTATTTAAATAAAGGCAAGATATATTAGTAATTTACTTTTTTCTTGGATAGTGACTCCCTAAACTAAGAAAGAACTTTTTTACATAAATAGAAGAAATAGCAATAAGTATGACATATATAAATGGTATGTCTTGTAAATTGAACTTTCTTTGCTTTGGTTTGATCTACACTCTCTTTATCATCAATACTGTCATAGTGTTCCTTTTATTTTTACTCACTGAAAGTCTTCCGCAAGCAAGATGTTTATGTAGTTGTGAACAGCACATTCGTCAGCTCCTTCACACAGACACTAGAACTGCTTTTTGTGTTTCCTTTTACACCCCAATCTGACACACAAAACCCAATGCAAGAACAGCATTTGAATAAAGCGCATGATGTATTAAACTAGTTTGTATCTCAAGTAACCCTGATTCACTTGTGTCTTCCTGTAATTGAACACCTCAGCGTGTTTGATTCACCCGAAGATACAACTGGTCACACGAGGTTCATCTTGAGACACACCAGTTGGTACTCCTCAAGTGCTCTTAGATGCTGCCAGGACTTGGGTAGTTACCTGGAAGCACTAAACAAAACTCACAGCTATTATTAACAGTTTTGCTAAGCTGTTGCCATAATCTCTGCATCCTTAATTTGACCCACAATTGTTTTTAGTTGAAGTTTTGTTAGTGTATTCCACTTTCACTTTTATATCAGTAACCTTAACACTCATGTCATCTAGACACAGTAAGTTCTGTTTTACACCCCCTTATCTTCATTATGTCTGTGTTTATGTCATTATATTAATGATTCAGTAATAACATCATCCTCACCAATTTTGTAAGATAAGTTTTTCTTAAGGGGATGTCCACTAGACTAGCTAATGGGCATGTGAAGCCAGTGTCTATACTTAGTCATTGAGGACCGACGTATAACCTAACCTTCAGCTGAGTATCTTAGTCTCAGATTATAAAACACTGTAACGGTGTCATCCTCCAATCATTAAGTATAGAATGACAAAACTGCCATTGTATGTGAGTAGGTAAATGTGTGATAGATCAAAGTCAAATCTTCATATGTTAGTGATACACATGTACAGTAACTTTCATAAGTTCCCAAAAATTGACCAGATATATTCCAAATAGCTGTTGTGAGGTTAGATAATAGGCTCGCTAGTTTTTTTGGCCATCCCCTTCTAATTGATAAACATGACAGAAAATAGTCCCCTTGATTATAGGAATTAGGTGTATTTGGTCTGGGTCCCGCGCTGACACTACCCACGACACCCAGATACTTGATTTTCACTTGTTTAATGCTAAGTTGGTCGTCCGTATTGTTGCAGGCTGCTAAGGGGATAAGGAAGCTGCTGTTTGCCCTCATTGTATCTCTCCCAGCACTGTTTAATATCGGTGCTCTGCTGTTCCTCATCACCTTTATCTACGCCATTATTGGCATGGCAGTGTTTGGCCACGTACAGCGGAAAGGGGCCCTTGATGACCTCGTCAACTTTGAGACGTTTGGCAACAGTATGATGCTCCTATTTAGGTAATTTTATTTTCCCTCTCAGAGTTTTACTGTTAACTGTGTTGTGGTAATCATTCGTCATCTTCACTTCATGTCATATATGTGTGAAGCTCAGTCACTTCTAATGTTTATTGTATTACTTACATGATTTGGCATTTATAAGTTTTAATGAAATAAAGGTATGATCATAATGACTGTTTCTTGTGATTTTTTATTGATTTTGAGTTCAAGAAAATATTGTTATTGTCTCTTATTTGTCTATATCATATAGTAATTTTCTGCTAACTCTTAACCACTGAAAGAGCAAAGTAAGATTAATCTTAGCTATAGAAAAAATTATTGGAGTTCTTCACTGACTGGCAAAGACAATGAATAATGTTCCCATTATACTGAACAATGTTTTGTGTGTTTGACCAGACTCATCACATCAGCGGGCTGGAATGATGTTCTCGACCCTCTGATGGCTCAGCCGCCAGACTGTGACATCAATTACATGAACCAGCCCAATGGCAACTGTGGCCACCCTGCCATCGCTATTGTATTCTTTGTTTCCTTCATCATCATCAACTTCATGATCGTAATTAACATGTACATTGCTGTTATTTTGGAGAACTTCAACCAAGCCCACAAAGAGGAGGAGATTGGCATTGTGGAGGACGACTTGGAGATGTTCTATGTTAGATGGTCCAAGTGAGCAATTTTCTTATGTTGTCTGATGTTCAGTAATAGTTCATACCTTAATATTTTTCCTCTACTATATATATCTGGCATGTAACTTAATGTTGTTAACATCTGGGTAGTTTTTTCTCTCAGTTTACCAACGTTACAAAAGTTATTCATCAGTTATTTTATTGTTGATAAGTCTATCTCTGAACACCACCCACATCACTTGTATATGAAGAACAAGAAACTTTTAATTATGTGCAGTAGTTTCATTAAAACTTTAACTGTGTGCCAAGTTCATTAGAATATTTATAAAGATTTGTTCCAGAATATTGGTACTTTGTAGACAAAAATTTTCAGCCCTCAGGTGATATATAAAAGATTTAGTATTCAGTCTATACATATGAATTTGGGATCTTGGGAAGATTACTGAATATTAAATAATTTTTTTATTATTAACTGCCATGTCATGATCCACAGGTATGACCCTCATGCTACACAGTTCATCAGCTTTTCACAACTCTCAGACTTCATTTCAAGTCTGGACGGTCCTTTTGGAATACCCAAGCCCAACACTGTTGCCCTTGTGTCCTTCGACCTTCCCATAGCCAGGGGGGATAAGATCCACTGTCTGGACATCCTTCATGCTCTCACAAAACATGTCCTTGGCCATGTAGAGGAAACAGAGGAATTTAAGAGGGTGAGTGTTTTCTTGTGTTGTCAGTGGGAAAGGTTGTCACATCCAATGAGAAGTGTCTGTACTTATCTCCATGGACAGTCGTACTTTAGACAGTTGTGTGTCGGTGATGGGTGTGATGTGTACTGTGCTAGGTGTGAGCAGTTGTATCAACCTTCATCATATGATGTTTATTACAGATCATATGATAATTGTTGTTACTATATCATTATACCATACAGGGGCATGGCACTCCACCGAGGGGACGAATCACACGTCAGACTGCGAGTATATTTCCCGTTGCACGATTCATAAGACGACACTATCACAGACTTTGCCTCTAGGAGTCAATTATGTAAAGACAATATACACACACAGTCTCTAATATCCACTTTCCAAGTCATAGGGCGGTCATCTACCCCGAGTACACTGCCCTCAGGACCCATGCCCCTGTTACTGTTTATGTGGTGGAATAATTGACAGGAATGCATTATAGTACATCCAGATTTTTTTCATTTTCTTTACATTCCATTTTTTTACACTTTGTAAACTATGGACAAGTTGCGTTGTGTAAAGTTGATGGTGTTGTGCGGTAGGAATATGATGTGTTTTTTAAAAACCAAGTTTGGGATAAATTTACCAGATTAATATAACAGACAAAACACATTGACTGGTATAATTGTTTATTGATTGGCAAAACTATGAAGTTGAGAAATTTTGAATATCTTAAAACATACAAGTTAAATACAGTACAGTACTTTACCAGTAATTTTCATGTATTGTATATTGTGGCATTAATTATTCCTTCAAGTTTCATCATACTGTACATACAGTAGTGTGCCGTAGCTACATAGTTGTTTCCTCAAAGAAAAATGAATGCAGAATGTAACTGTAACTTTTTTTGTAAATTCTTTATTCATTACTATAATACATAATGAAGGAGAACATTAAACATTGGTAAATAAGTCCCAAATGGTCATAGTGAGTGGCTGGAATTGAGTTAGATGTCTTATTTTTGTTGTGACAAGATCTGTGAAATTATGATGTACATTAAATGGTATTCATTAACATGCATATAGGAACGGCTATACCATCGTATACCTTGCTTAACCCTCGTCTGTCATTTTTAATAAGCGCTCCCTAGCTCATACATCTGCTCTTTCAAGCTCAAACATTCCTACTCTGCACTTCCCTTCCTTAGAGTAACCTGAATTAGCTTTTACAATCTGTATTCTATAACTTGACTCTACTGAGTTTAGTCATAAGCTACAGTTTACCGAGTCTCTTTTAATTCTCTAACAGTTTGATCTTCTGAGGTAATTACTGTACATGACTTAATTATTGAACAACTGAAGCTGATGCTGTGTTGGGAAGCAGAAAGATTTTTTCATTTCTATTATATTAAGGAAAATGGCATCACATAATTTCTACCAATTGACTAGCCTTTTAGGGGTGATACACTATTTATCTAAAGTTAACTTAACCCTTAGTGTATGTTCATCATTTGATGGTTATGACTTAAATGCTGTACAGTACATATGTTTAGACATGGAGAGCTGCCATTACGTAATCACGAGTAACTTACACAAGCGTGGAAAAACAGCCGTAAATTGAGAATGATGGTGAATGTCTTACTACTTATAAAAAAAAGGCATATTGAGGAAGTGTGTTTCTATACATTACACAACTTGTATAGTGAAGTGAGTCACCATCATGAGGTTGAGTAATACACTATATGCTCTATATCATTATTGTTATTTCGTCATATGGTACAGTAATACTTTAGTAGTCTTCCTAGTGAGTGATCATATCTTTGTGATCATAAAGTGGTTATTAATACCTTGTTGTTATCAGTATATAACAGATAAATTACCAGAACCAGACTCACAAATTGTTATCATGAAAATCATCAAAACTAGAATTTTTTTTATAAATATCACATTATGAACCAGTAAGAAATTGTATCATTAAAAGAGTAACTTTTATGCTCCTCTTCACAATTCTTTAGTCATTGCTTGATTCAACTTCACAGTAAAATTTTTATGGTGTTTTTGAAATATGCAGATATTTCCATTTACTGTATATTAAACAGCCTGACTACTTTAAATTTTTACATTAACTATGTGGCTGAACCTTTCCAGGTTAACTGAGACAAACTAGAGGTACTGGTAATAATAAACATATTGAACTATCAGCGTCTCATAGTTGATGTTACTCATAAGCGATCCAGTACGGAGGATCCTCACTCCTTCAAATTTATTCTGTTTCCCAAGACAGACGGTGGAGGTTGACCCATCAGACTTGACTCACTACAGTGCTAGTTTAGAATACACGGCCTCTGTCCATCGGTGCCCGCTGTAACATAACCAGTGCTGAATCTTTAGCTTATCCATCTCTTATTGCATTTTTCTGGAATGCAACACTATTGAAGACTAAACATCGGGAAGTTGGGTATGACGTCAGTACACTCATACAGTAAACCCTCTGATTAATGAAATGCTTGGAGAGGAAGGGTTGCTCATCTCATACAAATCTTTCTTCACTCACTAATATAATGAAATATACCTTCTGCAGCTTATCTTCTTCTGTCCAATATTTACTTCTTTTGTCTGTGCATCTATTCTTATTATGCCCACGTGTCACTTCACTAGATGAGACACACTCACACTGGTGTAATACAGTTAGTTACCAGTGATAGTTTTTCTGCCAATCAACACACATTCAATAAGACTTATATTCAGATGAAAATAGTGACTGTGGCATAGAAGTAGTGCACTCATCTGCTATCACTGCAACCTGGGTTCAATCCTAGATTGGATGTGTGAATAGTGTTGTTACCTTCTGGTTACCTTCTGTATTAACACTGGACCAGGAAGGATGTACAGTAAATGAGGGGGTTAAAGAGACCATTGGTGTCCATCCCCTGAGAAAACTATAGATTAAATAAACAAAATAGTAAATGCTTATTCCCATAATTGATTATCTAATTAATAATTTATTACAATTAATAGTAGTGCTATTATGGTAATGCAAATTATATATTTAAAGATAGATTAGAAGCAAAGTAGTGCTAAAAAATCTTTCTCTTTGTTATAGAATTTTAATTTGTTTTATTGAGTCATTGATAAACTAATCACTCTTGATTTTTTTTACCTTTTCAAAGAGCATATCTGTTGTGGAACTATTAAGACATAAATCTTTAGTTGTTACATGGTAGATCAAGGAAAAGAAGACAAAGTTGTCATGCAAAGTATGTTACATATTCCCTTACAACAAACTATATTCTTTTTTCATAGATCTTCAGAATAAATACTTACCCTGTCTTTAAAGGAAAATTAGAATGCTACTTAAACTGACTAATTCAGCTGCTGTATAGACCAATTCATGTTATCCTTGAAACATTATTTCTAGTTTTCTGACAACAACAAAATTAATGACCCAGCCCTCGACACTCCCTTAATGCTTTGTTCTTTTTTATTAGTGAGAATTACCAAATATTGTCCCATTAGTAACAGTGTGTATGCTGCTGTCAGTAATCTCCATCTTTATGCCCTCTACCTAAACTCTTAATGAAAACCTGGTCACTTCATTCTGATTTTTAAGGCCAGGTTAGATGATTGTCACCACCCAAACAAATAGGAGTATAGTCTTATGCTTATCTTGTAGGAAGATCTATTTACAGTGAGCAGTATGTCACTTTGTAAGATATTTGGGAAGGAGGAGGATCACAGAGACTAGTAGTATGAGAGAAATAAAGGACAAAAGCAAGTAACTAATGCCTTGTGGGCCACCTAGTAGCTTGTGTTGGCACTGAACAAAAACAAGTACTTTAGTCTGAAATCTACATAAGGCGTTTTCTTTGTCTATTTTAGCAGAGTACCGTACTGTACAGGAAGTTAAATATTCTTAAAAATATAAATTTACACAATAGTTAATTAATCTTTTTGGGCAAGTTTATGTGGGTACACAGTATTTTTTTTTATGATGATTGGTAATTGGAGAAGAATTATGTTAAGCTTTGTAGAGATAATTGATGATTTATGATTTATTTTCTAATACATTACCGTACAGTTACTGTTGAGAAATTCTAATGTCCAGTCAACAGCATCAACTCCATCTAATGCTGTACTGTACTGTATTGTCTAACAAAGAAATTAGAAAATTGCCTTATGAGGTGTCAGATGAAATATTAGAGCATCAGGCCTGGTTAAGATTTAATGCTGATCCTTTTATTAACTAAATACAATATACATCAAAGTAACATATGTACACAATATATGAAAATTAATATACAGTACTATAAAAGCAAGACCTTGCTAAATCTTCTGCTCATGCCTTTGACATTTTCAAAGCCTTTATCTTAATGGTGTATAGCACACATCTCTGCTCTCTAAACTGCTCTTCTGTGGTATCCATTCTACACCCAACTGCTTAATCTCATTCTTTTTCTCTGACAGCTGTTAGGCTTCACAGGATTATATAATGTCTCTCACTGTTACCTGAGACCTTCCCTCCCTACCCTCTCCTTCACTCTGTTGTAGCAGCAGGCCTGACCTTGAGTGAGATCATCTTCTTGTGTTCTTGTTCGTTCATAATAATCAAAATATCCTCCTGGATATAAAGAAATTTAGCGAAATTCAAGTCATCTTAAACCCAGCTTTTGGCTATTTTCTTGACGTAAGTCATCATCTTTCTTGAAAATTTATTCATATTGTTTTCAATTTTAGAATAAGCTCAGTATACACAGTTTAAAGTGAATAAGGATATAACAAGGCCTCGCTACGTGAACTCCCCAGTTGGATCCACCTTCCACACATTAAACCATCTCTTTTGTTTCCATAAATTCTTCAGCCCAGTAATACTAATAATTCTGCCTTAATAACTTTGGTACTTTAGATAAGGTCAAGTCTAATTCTTTCTTCTTTATATCTTTACTATCTGCAAGAGTCAAGTGCTGTCTTCTTCCTCTCTCTTATGATGGTTGAAGCTCTGTTTCTTCTCTATGGGTACTACAGTAGTCAGTGTTCCTGTACACCACAGCACACTCACGGTCACTAGATAGACTTCATCAGTTCATCAGTACAGTGTTTTGAGTTGTAGAGACAGAGTGCAAATGTTCTGAGACTCCTTTTCTCATTCAGTTTTCAAATTAAATTCATTCCTTGAAGCTATATTCCCTTCCAACAACCATGAGTCAGCACCACTGTCAACAGACACCAAATAAACTAACTAATAATGAGGTAGATCTTTTAGCTATGCCTGCTTGACAGTGGCTTTTGCTGTACAAACTTCAAAATATATCTTATTTCTTGACCACTTCCTATAAAATTTAGAGCACTCAGAAGGTTAGAATGTTAATCTCAGGGATGGGGGTATTGGTATTCTTTAATTGTATTTGAATGCATTCAAATACAGCATTTCAAGTTATTTGTATTTGAATACTATGACAAAGTATTCATACTCATAGAATAATCTAATGTATACCCAATGTTCTAATAATGGAAATCAGCCTAACTTACTAATAGCTTACTCTTGACTGCTGAGATTTTATTCTTGGACGACCTTACTCATACCAGTGAGAGAGGGAGAGAAGGAAGGCTGTAGTTACCTCCTGCCCTCGTCAGTGTTGCTTTAACATAGTATTTCCACTTAATGCAACAGACTTGACTTTTAAAATGTGTTTTAAGTCTGACAGTTCTGACCTATAATGAAATTAAGAATATACAGAATGTTTGCAAATTCTGTAGTTCTTTGCTACATAAAATTACAAAAAATCATGTTGCTACTTAGTGTTAACAGAAAAAATAATGCAATATGGTTTACATCAAAGTCACCTTAAAGTGGGCCCTGCAACCACCTCCCACATCGCTGCATTGTCTTGTTTGAGTAGTATACGTACCTGTCAGATGGTAGACCTTGCATTGCTTAAACACTACAGTACTTAACCACTTTGGAGTTTTGATAAAATCCACAAAATATGTTACTTTTCATTTTCTAAATAATAGGAGTTATGGCCCCAAAACAAAAATCTTACTTATGAGCTGAATAAAATTGTCTACCATTAGCCAAATAAAATATTACAAGTGGTATCCCCATAGTAAAGGGGTTAATGACTCTTACAGTAATTAAATGCACATAAAATGCAGCATATTCTATACCTGTCATACTTTCATAATGTATTTGCATTTGTATTCAGAGAGAAAAAAATTCCATTCTTATTTGCATTTGAATTCTTAGAAAGTTTAAATACCCCGATACTGTATTCTTATTCAAATACTGTACTCATCTCCTGTATTCACTCCATCCCTGAGTAATATGTAGCACTGTAGTGTTCTTTAATGGGTTTTGATAGTTATGATAGATAAAAGTTTTGTCAGTAATCCACATTTTGAGACTGACTGACTGTCTGTATGTATGGGTGTTGGAGTTGCCAAAAAAACAAACTTTGTCTTTGTCTTCTCATCACATCTGAATATTGTTTATTTTTTCCTCATCAATTTGAACAGTATATAGATTTTTTCATCACATCGAACACTGTGTTGACATTTCCTCATTCCAAGCTAGAAATGGTCATAAACTTTGGAATTTTGATGATAAAACTATTTTTGTACGGAGGGTTTACAGTATTTCTAGTTAACATAGTTGATTCCATCATAATTTTCTGTAAAGTTACTCCTGTTATCCCAGTGATCAGTAGTCTTTCCTTTTTTGTATACTACTATAGCTACTTACTAAAAGACTTAAGCAACAAAGTTTCCAGTGAAACTTAGCACTTCTGTCCAAATTCAGTTGAAAGCAAAATCTCTTATCTTTAACAATCCTCTTATCCTATCCTTAGTATACTGTATGTAAATTCCCCCATTAACCCATTATAATCCACAAAATCATTAATGGATTTATCATAATTCATAGACTATTGGAACAGTAGGATATATTACAGAGCCTCTTCAATCAGGTTTGTTATAGTTTTGGTAATAAATGCTAGAATATAACTATTGATAAGCAACACTGCAGGCATAAATCCCTCTGACCCTCCTTACATGTTTAGAATTGATGTTAGTGTAATCTAAATCAGTTTCCGTCCTGTATCTACATAATATCAGTGTATTTTGATGTTGCATAGTGCTTCATAACACCAGTGTCGGTAATATTGGGTAGTGTGTGTTATATTATGTAGTGCCTGATACAGTACTAATGTCATGTTGAGTAGTGCTGGATAATGTGAATATTTTTAATGTTGCTTCATGCTTGCTAATATGCTTGTTATGGTTATTGCATGCGTGTTTGGCAACAGCAGCCAGATATTATTAATATTGTAGTATTATCAGATTAACACACTCACTTTGCACTTACGGACGTGACCAGATGTAGTCGTTAGTTGCATGATCCGCTTGTGTGCTAGACTCAGCAGTCTTGGATTTTTATATAATGCTACATTGCAGTTAAAAAGATATATAACTATAATATCCAAGATAATATATATATTGTAGGCTGCTGTATAGCTTGCTTGTGTGTTGTTTTAGTGCTATTGTTGCTGTGGTTTTTTCTTGTATGGTTGTTGAATGTTGTTGTGATTTATTTGAAAGAGATGACACTATTATTTAATGTTGCAGAAAAAAGATCAAGCACATTCTTTAATTTCATATTTTGGGAATCATGGCAAGAATTCTATAACGCTGCCTTAGACTGAAAAACAACTAAATCACATAAAGTTCTTTCCCAAGGTTTAACTGTACACTTCAAATTTTGCTTTCATTATGTTTGAAGACCCTTTGATCACCCCAAAAATAAAACCAACACTTTACTTTATTCAGTTAATTTCAATACATAATACAATTTTCATTACCCAATTTATTTTGAATACCTCTGATGAACATAGGCCAGTGGCCTTGTAACTTGAGTTTCATGTGAAGAAATACTGTACTTGTCCATGTTTTGATGCTTTATATAAAGAATATACTTCCCTAGGATATTGACTACAGTACTTCTCTCTGGCACAAGCCGAAATGTATATTTGTTTAATACAGTACCAAGTGAAGATGTGCATAGTCCATATAACTTGAAACCATTATTCTTAAAAAATATATATATATTTCGAGTATATCCTGCTAATGTAGTTTGATCTATAATCTGTATAGTCCATAATCTATAATCACTTATGCAATCTTTCCTCAGTATGGTTATTCCTTGGGAAAATAAATTGTTTCTGCTTATCGAGAGACTGGATGTGAGAAAAAGACATCACACTTGGAGTATTTTGCTAACTTTCTTTACTTCAGTTTACTATTTACTTCAGTGTGTCATTACATATACGTGCACTATGATAAGAGTTTAGAAAAAACTACAAGACAGAAAATATAATTCTTCCCACAGTACACATATATTGGATGACACTATGAACGGTACTCCAACAATGAAATTTTTTTCTTTTTCATAATAACACCTACAATATGACGTAGCGCTATAAGCTAATTTAGTGTTTCATACTTTTTTAACAAGTACATTAAAAGATGGTCTTTAACTAAACAAAATAAATTATATTTATTCTGGTATTCAAAACCCCTCTCAAAGCATGACTAATGTTATACTAACACTGTAAAGATAATCAAAGAGAGTTTGTGTTTTGCTGCCACTGCAAAACATTCTTATCCTCCGACCTCAAACAGTCCTGATGTGCGTTATGTATGTTCTCTTCACAAGGTCTCATACAGTTGTGGCAAGTATTCAGACACCCCATCCAGTCTTTATGTGGCTCTGATGATTGTACATGTCATTCCAATCCTTTTGTGACCCCGGTTGACGTTGGTGTTGATATATTTTCTATGAGGTCCTTGCAGATTATCATATGTCTTGTCTGGTCCTTGATAAGCCTTGAAAACTATTTACACATCCCATCCAGTCCTCGATTAGCCCTGAAGACTGTTCACATGTCCGTTCGTCTCCTCGTCTCCTCCTCCATTCTTGTGTGTGGAGCGTCCGCGCCCTCAAGCCCTCTCTCACCTGCACGGCCGCCTGCAGTGTCTGCACTGTGCACCTTCAGGCGAGCCATACCGCCGACTAACGCTCAAAGTTCCCTAGTTCCCCCCTCAGCTCAAGATGCAGATGGAAGAAAAGTTTAAGAAGCAATTCCCTACACGCAAAGAGCTCGAGATTGTTTCTTCTACCCGGCGTTGGAAGAAGATGGACTCGGCAGCTAAGACCATCCAACAAGCTTGGCGAGGTTTCATGAAGTAAGTACTCAAGAATTTTTTGGCATTTGTGTACAGTACTGCAGTGCCATTACATACAACTGTAGCTTTCTTTTTTTTTATGAATGGTAGAGTTTAGGTGTATTATATCAGGCAAAGTATACTGTACTGTATATGAAATATGAAATTGGAACAACTGAAAAACCACAATACCTTGTACAGTACTGTACTGTATGATGGAACCAGAAACAAAGAATGACATCATTTACCTGAGTGATCCAATACTGTACTGTACAACCATGAGAGCCCAAAACTACTTCCTTTGAGGTTTTGATGCTGGTTTTGGCATTTTTAGATTTATTTATTTATTTATTGAACCTTTAGACTACGTTAGTTGAACACATTAATTTCCAATTCTTTGACAGGTAATGTTTCCACCCCAAAGATGAGGCTTAACAGTATTTTCTTTTCAAAATCTCAAAATCTTTACAGTACACCTGAGCTTGCTGATTAAATATTTAGGGTCAGAAATTTTGAATGTATTTTGTAATCAGTTGTTGTAATGACCCTTTAACAAATTTCATCCATTTGCCAGCACTAATCGCTGCAATTTTTCTATGCTGATTTTTTATGTCTTTTGTTTTTGTTTTAATTCTGAACGACTTGATGTAGATAAACACATTATTTTCAAGTTTTTAGACAAAAGGCATTTACACACACATAAAAATTCAAACATTACCATTTATTTTACCTCATTGTGAAACTCTTATATGTATTACAGTACTTTTTTAAGTTCATAACAGGTGAGAGGTATTACATAAAGGGCTCTCTGCACCCATTCCACAAAGCCTTAACCCCATCTTGTATCATCGCAGCAAGGAACCAAGTACAGTACAGTACAGTATAATTGGTGTGCACAATCTTACAGAGTAAAAAGAAGAAAAATGGGAACTTACTGCTCCTCGGATGATGATGATGAAAGTGATATGCGGCTCCAGAACCTCGATTAGTTTCTGCGACTACTGTGATGTAACCCTGGAGTAATAATCACAGCTGTACTTAATCATTATTACTACAGTTATGTAAAGTTGGACAAACATTTGTATTAGGTTGTTGATAATCACTGTGGTTACTGACATTATTCTTACTAATCACTGTAGTTGTTGGTACAAGTAGCAGTTGAAATATGCACCTGTTGTCCAGACCTTGACGGCAGATTACACATATGGCTTCACTGATCATTTGGCATTGCAGCTTATTCATTGAACTCTGTGAGGCATCATCTTAAACAGCCAACACAAGTCATAGAAGTTGACTAGTTGCTGTTTGTTAATAGAGTCGCTCTCCTGCATTGGTAAATTCCATCCCCCCCCCCCCTTTTTTTTTAGTTTTTGTTATACATTAATCATATTTTTTCACACAGCAACTGGTACAATAATGAGTCGTAGTGGTTGGTTAGGAGAGTGAGAGTAGACAGAACGTAGTCACTGTATCAGTTATCCATTACTTCGAAACTGACTGTGAATAAGAAAATGTATTGGCTGAATACAGTGAGTGTCAGAAGAAAGTTACTACTGTACAAACAAAGTCAACTTAGCTGTATTTACCATGATTTTGCTGTACACAGACTTCAGTTTCAGCGACTTTTGCGGGCATATTGCTTTGCTGTAGGTTGTCAAAACAGTTATGGGGGAAAACATGTAGTGTTATCTCTCTCTACCAAAATTCACTATAGTTTAGATCAACTTTACAGCCCATTTAAACACACTAGTTTTCACTTCCTCCCAAAAGCTTTTTGTTGTTAAAAATCCGCCTGACCTCCAGTATAATCCTTGTGTTTCAGCAAGAAGTCAAAACATGTATTTTTCATACAAAGGACCTCCTTTATGTGCTGGTTAATGATCTAGGTTCAAAAATTTTATATTTGAGTAATTAGTGTTAATTAATGACCCCAAAATAATTGTATGCAGGGTACTATACTTTAAGACTTTTTAAAACATCAATTACACTGGGCCCATAAGTTTTAAATCACCTTCATGTACATTTCTCAATGATATCAACTAACTTTACAATTTAAAAATGCTAGTTTTCACGCTCCAGAAAAAAAAACTTTTTTCGTTCAAAACTTGCCTGACCTATTACCTTGCATTCCGGCCAGGGTTGATTTTTTTTATCAGATTAAAGTATTTATTTGAAATTTTGTTCATGTTCAAGATAAACTGAAACAAGTAAAAAAGATGAAATGGACAATGTTAGAAACTGTGTGAGAGGTTCAGAATAAAGTGATACAGAACCATAAAGATAATAAGAGAATGAAAATGAGTGTGATTGATAATTACTAGCTAAGACAACTATAATTTAAAAGGAGACAAAACTGAATATGAACATAGAATACAGGAGAAGTACAGTTACAGTCTGGTTAAGGTGATATCATTAAGTATTTTACAAGCCGTGCTAATTTTAATGTCTAGAGCTAATAAGATACTTTGGTGACAATAAGCGCATGTTGAATACCATAGCCTAATTAATAAGAACCATATAGAGCTGGTAGTGTTTGCCTTACCATTATATTATATAGGCTAAGAGAAAACAACATCCAAATATGGCAAAAAAAATCAGGTATCAAGTGTAAATACTATACTGTACATTCTGATCCTGCTCAATTAATAAGCTTCTACACCTATTCTTCTATAAGATTGAGGGGTATTGTATGATAAATAGACAAAAATATAACATCATACACCACAACATATACTGTATTACGTAATTATTTTTTACCTGGTATGGTACAGTACTGAACCCTGTACTGTATTGTAGTAAAGGCTTGTCTTCCATACATATATAAAATTGTCACAAGATAAAGCACTACAATATATACTTGATAGTAGAGATTGGGCAACTATACTCGTATATTTCTTATTCAAAGCATAGTTTTTTTTATGTTTAGACAAGCAGAGGAAATGTTCCACAACAGATATGAGATTTACTGAAAGAAAGTGACTCAAAAGTATCCTAAACTTTACTGAGTCTTACTTCATTAAGTCTTTTCTGAGTAAAGACTTCAGGCCTGTACTATACTGTGTGTCTATGTTTCTTAGTTTGTATAACACAAATGAAAACTGGAGGAAGTAAGCCAGTGGCTGTATAACATGTATTAAGTGATGTCTTCATATACAGTACTATGTGTATACTGTATATATACAATATATATGTATATGTTTTGATGAATATTACTAGACAAATTATGTGCAATATGTCATTATTGCATGAGTATGTATTCATGTTACATCACGAAATATAATATTGCCAAACTTCACATAATGTTAGTGTCATAACTAAGTGTCAGTAGGTTACAAACATTTACCCTGTAAGTAGTAAGTAAATATTGGTGTTAGTGTTTTATGTACTGTAATTTACTATTTACGTTTAACTGTCGGTACATGAAGCTGGTTAACCATTTCTTGTGATGCTGGGAATAAGAATTTTTAAACCCTAAAATAATTGTATCTCAGCTCACTCTTATTCAAATATTAAAGGAATAATTCCTAAAATACTGTACAAAGGTGAGACAAGGAATGATACATAGTAGTCTGGACACTGTAGTCACCTGTTAATAGGAAGAATACTGTACACTTGCTAACTCATGGTGCCATCAACAGTGTAGTTAACAATTATGTATTTGCAGGTATCGGCGAGAGTTGGAAAAGAAGAATTTACTCCTGGAAGAGGCACAGACTCAAACCTCCTCTCCAGGGGGGTCATCAATACGATCTGGTTTCAAGAAAGTATCAAACTTGCTGCAGGTAGTTCCCATGCCTATGAGTGTGCCTCGCCGAAGGTCCGTCACTGTCCTCCAGGTGGGTGGTCACTGGAGCCATTAGCCTGGATTTATTTTTGGTTGTAGAAGTTGTGGTCTTCTCATGCAGTAGTGTGTTGTAACTGTATCTACTTCTTTAAGTATATAGTTAAATAAACCTTGCACAACCTCTCATAGGGAACCTTCTTAAATATTTTTCACTAGATATTTCTACAGTGTGTTTACTCACACTGGCATGATTCACGTGTGTTCTTCTGAGTATCCTCTTTATACTCTGTGTTACATATCAGTTACCTGTGAACAAACATTAATAGTACACATGATGGAAATCTTCATTGTATCATACTAGTGCTCCTCCCAATTCCCTGCTTACAGTATGTACTGTATCCTCATTCAAAAATGCTTTTTCCATCCCACACTTGAGCATCACCAACCTTGTGACAGTTAATACAGTACTTCTGTAACTCCTCCACTTGCCTCATCTTCAACTTCAGTATATCTATCTCCTTTTACATTAGTGCTCAAACATAAATTACAATGTACCGTTACAAATGGAGTTAACACATACTGTTTTCATCGTAATTATTAGAAAAACATGGCTTTCATTTCTGTATATTTTCCTGAATTTTTCTACTCGAGTATTCTTGCTTTATAAAAGCTTTTGTGCCTTCACATGAAGTATTGTTCTGTGTCTGTGACACAAGCCTTACATGCAGCCTCCCTCCCCTGCATTTCTGATGTTTGATATCCCCCCTTTCCTTGTTGTATCACTATCTGCAGGATCAGTGTGGTACAGTATAGAAACCATCCATCAATGCTTCTTTGTTCACAGGTACTTCCCTTACTTCCTCAACACACCATAAAAATGTCATTCAATACAAATGACCTTCTTCCCCTGCACACATCTTCTTTTCCTTACATTTACAAATGTTTTACTAAAACTTAATCATTGTTTTTTCTCTATTCAACTTAGAATATAATACTGGGAGGTGCACCTGACAGCAGAGCCAAGTGTTAACTAAGCCATCACAGTGCCCCATATTCAGGGACATCCTGCTTTGCACTGTGTAGAAGAGGTGTTAGCGTAAGCAGCTTAATAGTTGCCTGCATGACCTACTTTCTACTTCTGAATGCTTTCACTTTATGTATAGAAAAGACTTATGCAGGGAAATACTTTACTGAGAGAAAACTTTTTTTCCATTTACATGCATACTTAATATACTGTATTCTAAAATGCTTATAAGCATACAAGTTCATTTCTTGTTTTTTTTTTACTTTTTTATTTCTAGATTGACACTAGATGTAGGTCAAGATCATTGAACATACTTATACAGTAGTACCTGTAGAATATTGGTGCTACAACTATCTTTTCAGGTGGATGGAGGAGGATCAAGCTCACGTCGTGCTTCCCGCTCCTCTGTGAATGAGGTGTCTACGTCTCCCCGTGGGTCTTTCTTCTTCTTCCCCATCTCACGCCGTGCTTCTCGAGCTTCGGCAACTTCTGCCACCTCAGGAGCATCCAATCCATCATTAGTGTCTGTACAGATCCATCGCGTCGCTGACCACGACTCGCCTCACGCTTCTCAAGGCTCCACAGAAGCCCTCAACACTGAGGCCAGCTGACGTAAGCCTTCTCTGGGCCCACCTTGATGCCCTCCCCCAATGTAACCGGTGCCCCTAGCTGAACGCCAACACCTTCTCAATGACTGTGTTGCGTTAAAGATAGCTGATAGTCTTCTAGTTGAAAGCTGATGGCTAACAGTTACATAGGTCCTTGCTTACACTTTTGTGACCGAGCCTGACCCATGTGTTGCCCGGTCACTCTTGCCTGACTGGCGTTAACCCAGTTTATTCCTGTAAGCCCAACTGTGAGGCTTCATGCGCTACGAGTACCCAAAGGAGAAGAGAAGGAGCGCTTTGGCTGCTCTGACTGTTACAACTTAGTATTTCCATACGTTCCTGAAATCTTTGTCATGTTGACCATTGGCACGTGTTTCAATTAGATATAAAATTTTAGACCAAGTTTATTGCTTTATGGCAAAGATGAAGTCATTTTTTATTATAAATAGTTTCCATTGACATGTGCCATTGTTGTTGTATATAAGAAGTATTTTCACCGGTGGAATATTTCATTTCTAATTCCAGATATCAACATATATGCAATTTGCTTTTCTCCTGCAATTGCCATAGGCTCACTATAACCTGCAAATGCAAAAATTGGTTTTCTTATAGAAAACCTTAAAAATGTTATAAGTCAAAGATGGTCTTGAAAAAGAGGACATTATAAGTACAGTAATAAACATACTACATAGTTCTTTAATAACAAAGTAACAGGAGTTTTATATTGTCTCACCCAAAATAATGCAAATATGTCTACATCTCTTTTTCAAGGTCTCGGTCATATACTCAATATTTTTTATGGCATTATAGCCTATCGTTATCCCTGCACATGAGCATGGAACCATCGCGAAACGATATGCAAGTAGAGTTATTTGCCAGTTTGTTAGCTTTGCTGTAGGGTGCCAAAGATTTTGTTCATGCCTTAGTCTACAAAAGCTCTTTACAAAGTCAAGTTTCATGGGGATCAGCCCTCACTGTGAAAATGAACTTTCAACACCCACCTCAGTAGAATGTCTGGTGCAGGGTAGTTCAAAATAGTTTCTCCTTAAACCCATTATCTTGGAGCCATGAGACTTGACATATACGCTCCTCTCTTTAGCCTATATTTAGGTTCATGTTATAGATAAAACGTGCCAAAATATCTGCACCAGCTTTTTAAGGATCACCTCAAAAATATAAATTAATTCTAATGTAATTAACGTACTTGTATAATATTGTACATAATTATAGTTTTACTTATCAAAGCATAATTCGTTAACTCTTGGCAAAATGTAATCATATTTGTATTGTACAGTGTTAGGTGACTGCCGAGTTATCAGGTCAATGTATCTTTGATGTTCTTGTTATTATTAAATTTTGAAAAGATGCTGTATACCATTCTCTGATACTATTGTTTGCCCATGTGAGGTCACTGATCGCATCTTTCATACAAAACAAAGTAAATACTAACTTTTTGCATGATACTGCCTTCTTGTACCAATATTCCTAATAATGAAAATTAAAAAACTGCACGAAATAAATTTTTTATCATAAGGGAATTAAGTACTTACTAGAATTCCATTTAATTTCCCTTTTTTTTTCATGACAAAGAAGTAATGTGACAGGTATACGTAATTGTCCCTCAGTACTTCTTACTCCGTACTTCAATTACAATGGACCAAGTTACTGTTATAATACTCAGAAACAATAGAATTATTTGCTTTTACATGTTAATACACTTACATTTTATGTTATTAATTAACATGAACAATATTAACTTGAGCAAAGCATTATATATCATTATTAACATGAACAAAGCATTATACATCACAATATTAACATGAACAAAGCATTATACATCACAATATTAGCATGAACAAAGCATTACAGGTATACATTACAATATTAACATGAACAAAGCATGATACATCACAATATTAGCATGAACAAAGCATTACAGGTATACATTACAATATTAACATGAACAAAGCATTATACATCACAATATTAACATGAACAAAGCATTATACATTACAATATTAACATGAACAAAGCATGATAAAATATTAGTTTTTGGTCATCCGGGGAATCTTAGGAATTTAACTACGCGTATTGGAATCAGTAGTTTAGACAATTCTAACACAATTTTCTTCTATGACGTTTCCCTCGCAAATGACCTGACCTAACCTCCTAAATGGGGGGGGGGGGGCTCGGCCCCCCCACCCCGGCATACTGTAGTCATTTGCGAGGGGAAACTTCATAAAAGAAAATTGTGTTAGAATTGTCTAAACTACCGATTCCAATAGTTAAATTCCTAAGATTCCTCGGATGACCAAAATTTAAATAATACACAATGCATTATACATCACAATATTAGCAAAGCATTATACATCATAATATGAACAAAGCATTATACATCACAATATCCAGCATTATTTGGGATCTGGTTAACCAGGTCTTGCTTAATTGGTGTACTGGTGTCACCAACTATTCCTAGACCATAACATAACTAAGCCAAGATGCACCGCGTGTGAAGTTCTCACTGATTATATGATTTCACTGATATTTTGTGTGCATTGCAACACCCAGCATGACCATGTTCATCCTTTCACAATTAATACATCTTTGCCTTCAAAGTATATAAAATTTGACAGTGAATATTTTTAATGTCTGTATTTTATATACGCAAAAAGTACCTATCCATATTTTAGAGTAGGCCTTCTTTGCCTTGGTCAGATAGATATAATATTGCTAAAATTTGTTGTCCTTGTTACTGTTCATAACTCTTTATAACTAATAAGGGATTTCCTGTAATTTGTTTTCTTGAGTTTTTAAGGCAGTTGAATATTTTTATTATTGTGAATGAATTTACTATATAAAATGTTAAGCTGTGAAGCTCATACCATAACTCATAAAGTAGAATATGTTAGAGTAGTACATTGTAATCATAATTTTCATGGTGCCCATATTTTAAGGACAATTAAGGGAAAGATTAAAAGAAAATGCAACTACCATATTTAAACTGTAGTAGACTTGCTACTAGCAGGCTAGACTAATAAAGACTGTGTGTACCTTTAAAGTAAGGTAATTTATCACTGTTATATAGTGATCAATACTTTACTTTATAGCTACGAGTCTACGACAGTGACCAAAAACGGTCTCTACAGTGGATTAAAAATTTTTACTGGGAATATTATGATTGTGATACAAGACTTAGATAGCAAACCACCTTGACTGTAGGGGAGCAGGCAAGGTGGTGCCGGTGGCTGGTTACTGTCTTGTATCAAAACAGTGCCCTGCCTCACATAGTGCGAGTAGGAGTAGTGCAGGACTCGCCATTGTAAATATTATCCACCACCAGTCTCAGGTCATCACCATTGTCATGTCATCACCTCACATCAGCAAGAGCTAGAACCTTCAGGAATTTCTCTCAGAAGAAACATGAAAATGTGAATCTGAAAACTTTGTTGCATAAGCATTTGTTTTAGTACATAATCCATCATTAAATCCATAAGTTCCTTTTCATATTTACTACTTTTCCTTTTCCTGCCTACAGTATTATAAAGTTTTAATGGATATTTTGTACATAATTCACTATTGGCAAGCCTGAAATGTTACAATTAGTAGTTACAAGTGTTAAACATTTTTTTTAAGATTTACATTAGTATATATATATATATATATATATATATATATATATATATATATATATATATATATATATATATATATATATATATATATATATATATATATATATATATATATATATATATATATATATATATATATATATATATATATATATATATATATATATATATATATATATATATATATATATATATATATATATATATATATATATATATATATACATATATATATATATATATATATATATATATATATATATATATATATATATATATATATATATATATATATATATATATATATATATATATGGCAGAACAGGAGATGAATTAGTGATTGAGCATATTTACAAAGTCAATATCAAAATCATGATCAAGTAGCATTGGAATCAAATTTATCTGATTAACTAGTTGTGATGATCATGTCGACATTGGCAGAATAATTGACATTCAGAAGAATATGTTGACTTGGTGTTACTGTTTCACAAATATGGTATTCTGTGAGGGACTCATTTTGAATTCCTCGCTTTAGTAATGTTCATAGGAAGTGTAAGTTTTCTTTATAAGGGATGAACATGATATGCTGAATAAATATGGTACTCTTAAGAATTTACAAGGGTATTACTAAATAGGGGGAAAAATATGGGGCAGTCATATTTGTTTAAATTCTTCCTCTGTCACTGTAGTGTATCACGGTGCTCTGTAATTTCTGTAATCTGATATACTTTTTATTATCCAAAATTGGGGCTAGAATTCATATCTGCATTACAGTAGTTTCTTAATCCATACAGTGTATAGGGAGTTGCTGGTTTTTGACTAACAGTAATGCTACAAATGGATCCTGGCCCAATATTCAAATTTTTCCAATTTCATATAGAAAAAGTATGGTTCATATAGTATGTAAGGTACCTACCACGGACCACATTTTGTACAACCTCTTGGCAATAACGCCTAATGTCTGTTACTGTGCACCTTTTAGATACCACACCTAACAATCAAATGGTAGTTACAGTAGAACAAAATACCAGTGGTAATGTCCTCTTAGAATATCCTGACCAGTTTCTTGTTATCTAATAATTTCCTCTCATAATGGTTTCCATATTTTGGTCACTCTATGTTACTTGTGCAGTAAATTGAGATATTAATATTACAGAACAAGATTTTCCAGCTCTTAGAAAATGGGACACACATACACCCGTGCTCCAGAAAGATGTAAAAACCTTACCTCTGCATGTGATAGATAGCTACATATCGCCTAGTATATCTGTAGAAAGGCTGAAACAGTGTTGATGTAAACTGATTGTTGATCAGCAGTGACACAGTGTAAGAGACAGTGTTGTTAAGTGGAAATATGAAGGAGACAGAACATGTAGAAGATAAAACACATAAAACTAACTTGTTTGCTAGAAAAAAGAATAACGAAAAGTTACACAGGGCTGTTCTTGCCTGGAGTGACCCTTTGCTTTTTAGCACAATCATATTTCTGTGATAACCCGTAGGAACCACTTGAGAGTGGCTTCTTCTGTCCCTCCCCTCCCTCTCTCACCCTGCTAGAGTTGTGGTGAGGCTCCCAATTGTTGTTCTTCTTCCAAAGTATTTCTTTCCCCATCGTCGTTCCTCTGTGTTAGAACTGTCAACTCAGTCTCCCTCTGACCAATCATCAGTCTCCCCCCTAATTATCCTCACAGCCTTCACTTCTGTTTTACTATGTCTCATCACCACATATTTACTCCATTATCACCTACCATAACCTAATCTATCTAACCTATCACTTGAAATTAATTTTCTTACTGTATATTCCTTTTGCCTTGCCTTTTATTACATTAATTTTAAAATATTACACCAATACCTTTAAGCATGAGTAGGTAGATCTCTCTACATTAACACAACTCTGCCTGACACCCCTTCATTATCATAATATTTTAACAAATCATATTTTTTATTGAACCATCAGCCTGGTCTTGTTTGATATTTGTTCTCATGTTAATAACCCAATAATATATCCTGATCCTAACCCCTCATAATTCAATTACCATTTTGCCTTACACATGTCTCATTATATATATATATATATATATATATATATATATATATATATATATATATATATATATATATATATATATATATATATATATATATATATATATATATATATATATATATATATATATATATATAAATATAAATATAACTATAAATATATATATATATATATATATATATATATATAACTAACTATATATATATATAACAACACCTGTATATATATATATATATATATATATATATAAATATAAATATATAATATATATATATATATATATATATATATATATATATATATATATATATATATATATATATATATATATATATATATATATATATATATATATATATATATATATATATATATTTATTTCATTAGCACCTCAACCCGCCAGGATTCGAACCCACGGCCCACTAGCCCAAGACTGTGACCGGGGAACGCTAACCGCTGGACCACCAGGATACTAAAAGCAGTCCTAGACTTTGTTATATTTCACACAAAGCCTGTTCAACGAGCTTATGGCGCCGTGAACCTCTAATGGGGACTACCCGTATCACGTGTTTCGAAGCCGGATTTGGTAAAACGTTACTCTGACCACCTACGTGATACGGGTAGTCCCCATTAGAGGTTCACGGCGCCATAAGCTCGTTGAACAGGCTTTGTGTGAAATATAACAAAGTCTAGGACTGCTTTTAGTATCCTGGTGGTCCAGCGGTTAGCGTTCCCCGGTCACAGTCATGGGCTAGTGGGCCGCGGGTTCGAATCCTGATGGGTTGAGGTGTTGTATATATATATATATATATATATATATATATATATATATATATATATATATATATATATATATATATATATATATATATATATATATATATATATATATATATATATATATACATTGCAGTTTTCTTCCTCCACATGCCTAAGGTTGCTGTTCACCTCACCAAGCCTCCTCCCTGCCTTTTGACTGGTGACACTGACAACGTCACTTCTGTAACCTTCCATATAGTGCTCTCATATGTTTAGGTAGCAAATTACAACTGTTTGTAAAAGTAATATTGTTATAATGAAAAGAATCACAATAAAAGTTATGATGTGTTCATTATATGACATCTCCTAGTCTAATCAAATGTAGACATTTAAACATTAGAAACACAAAAAAGTGTATTTAAGAGATACAAGTAATAAGAAACATTGATAAATGAGATGAAAGGTGAGTTAGGGCAGCTGGAGAAAGCAGAAATTAAACGAGTACTGTATATTAAAAATAATGGAAGAGTTAGATGTGGTTGCAAGAGAAAATAATACTGTATAATGGAAACATAATAATGCTTTGGAAGAACAGTAGTAAGGGAATAAATGGGGCAGTAGAATCTTTTTAGTCTAGAAAAATATTTGAAATAAAATAGGGATATGCATGATGTAGAGGCAGTGGCAAGGAATAGAAGCATAGAGAAACTCCTTGAACAGCAACGACTATGGACATACACAGATGGGATTAAGTAAGTACTGTAATATATTCTTAGGACCTTTGAAATAATTGAACATATTAGATTATTTAAAAAGTCAATTACACTGTGCCCATAAGTTTTAAATCACTTATATTCCCTTTCTTAAAAATATACACTATCTTTAATATATATATATATATATATATATATATATATATATATATATATATATATATATATATATATATATATATAATTTTTTTTTTTTAAGGGGATTAGCCCACCTGAGCACAGGTCACTGACCCACATCGGGGCCTGGGGGGGCAAAATTTTAATAATAATAATAGTAATTCATAGTAAATAAAATTTATAATAAAAAGTAAAATAAAATAATAATAATAATAACTAGTAATGATAATAAAGAAAAAATAATAATAATCAATAGTGAGAAACGCTATATGTACAGTATGTTGTCTTGTCAATAGTAAGAGAAACAATTGAGACCCTGCAATTGTTGGTAAATGAGGCAGAAAGACAGATCAGCAACCTGGGACTTGGTCACAATATTTGTGATGCCATATGGCAGCAGGGTCTACCATTAGACAACGCATTATGCTTCCAATATCTTCCCAGTTGGTAGTACCTCCCTGTTTGATAGCTGCTTACTACCTACTACCTGTAGTTTACCCCCAAAAATTCGTTTGACGTCAAAAATATGCCTAACCTAATACAGTGGTCCCTCCATTAACAAGCACAATTGGTTCCACAGAGTCACTCGTTAACTGAATCCATTATTTCAATGGGGAATTGGTTCCAACTCACAGAATTCCCTTAAACTCAATTAAAAAGTACATACAAAGTACTGTATACTGGTAATAGAATTAACAAAACATTAAATATAAACAAAATACAGTACTGTACAGTATGCTGTACAATAATATATAAAAAAAACAAAAAATATCTTGACACTTAGTGGCGTGTTTATAGAATGTTGCTGGTCGAGTTGAAAGGCGGAAGAGGAGGAAGATGAAGGGAATTGGAAATGGGGGTGGAGAAGAAGGGAGAAGAGAAGCATTTTAATGCCTCTTGGAAGGCGAATCACCTTCCAAAATAATGTCAGAAACCTCTGGAGTGACAGATTCTTTAACTTGAAAATCCTCTCTCCTCCTTTTTGGAGAGGAAGACTGGGGGGAATCATCTTTCTCACACTGCCTTTTAGAGAAGAAGCTGTCAAATGTTTGTTGTGTGGCATTTCTCCTCCTGTTGATTAGCTGCTTCTTGAAGGAGGAGACCATTTTGTCCTCCATGGCACACAACATAGGTTCTGTTGTTTCCACATCACGGTGCCTTGAAGCCAGTTTCCTAAACATCTCCCAGTAGTGAATGGCATCTTTTAAGTCTGAAGTAGACATATGGTCATCACTCTCCCTTTCCTCCTCACCACTGTCTGTTTCAATCATCTCATCCAGTTGTTTCAAATCTTCAGGAGAAAGCTCCTGCTCATGAGACATCACAAGCTCTTGAACATCCTCCTCCTCCACTTTGAGTCCCATTGATTGACCAATGGACACAATCTCCTTGTCTAACTCTGCTTCTTCCTGAAATCCCTCAAAATCATGGACTGCTGATGGCCACAGTGCTTTTTATGCAGAAATCAGGCATTGAGCAGACTTCTTGCCATGCTGACACGATCAATTTTGCAGCCTTCAGGATGTTGTACTGCATCTTCCAGAACTGTGCCAATGATTGATCAGGATCAGTGGTTGTTGCCTGATGACACCTTCTAAACATCTTCATATACAGCTTCTTGAACTTGCCAATTACATTTTGGTCCATTGGCTGCGTAATTGATGTAGTGTTGGGAGGCAAAAACAAAACTTTAACAACCAAATCGGGCCTCTAATGTGTTGGCAAGTTCAGGGTCATGATCAGGGGCATTATCCATAAGGAGAAGAGCCTTTAAAGGAAGTTTATTGGTGGCGAGTTATTTCTTCATAGAACTGCAAAACACCTCAACTGCCCATTCATTAAAGAGCTGTCTAGTCACCTATGCCTTGCGGTTCGACTTCCAATAAACTCCAAGTTGTCCTCTGACCACCTTATGTTGCTTGAACACCCTGGGGTTCTCAGTGGCATACGAGCATAGGCTTCAGTCTGAAATCCCCTGAAGCATTGGCACCATGCAATAGAGTGAGACGGTCCTTCATTGGTTTATGCCCTGGTAAAGCAGCTTCATCTCTGGTGATGGATGTCCTTTTGGGCATTTTCTTCCAGATCAGCCCAGTTTCATCTACATTGAAAACTTAATGTGGAAGATAATCCTCTTTATCCATCAGTTTCTACAATTCTGCTTCAAATTTTTCAGCTCCTTTATCTGCACTTGCAGCTTCACCATACCTAACAACATTATACGTGCCGGTAGTTCTCTTAAACTTATCGAACCAGCCCTTGCTGGCCTTAAAATCTTCAAACACAGTTTTAAAAGAACTAGGTTGATCTTCCTTCAAATGTTCATAAATTTCCCTGGCTCTTTCACAAATTAATTCAGTAGAAATGGAATCACTTTTCATTTGTTATTCTTTAACCCAAATAAGAAGTAACCTCTCTGTTTATGCAATCAGCGATCTACCTTTAAAAACACTGGTAGATTTATCTCTCACTTTCACCAATTTAAATTTGTCTTTATGCAATAACTGTAGACACAGTCGATGACGACATGCCATATTCTTTACAGAGTGCATTGGGTCTAATGCCTTCTTCATATTTCTTAATAATCTCTTGTTTCACTTGAACTGAAATCACCTCCCGAGATTTCTTCGGACCCATGCTTGATAATTTCACCAATAAAATTTTAAGCTCATTACCTGTAATTCCAGATTTTTTTATTTAAACCAAAACTGCACTGTATATTATCAATAAGTTAACTAAATTTCAATATGACCAATAATTTTAATGTAAAAATGCATAAATATTCAAGAGATCAACTTTCTCGATGTTTACTCCACTGGAAACAAAGGTAAACAGAGAACCATTATTGGCAGATGAGTCGATCAGCTGATGCACGCACCAAAACGTGTTTCTCGTAAGGTTGTCTCTAATAGAACTGAAAGTCCTTACAGGAGGTAACTCGTTAACTGAAATCTCGTAAATTAAACCACTCGTTAATGGAGGGTTCACTGTACTTTGGTTTAAATATCAAACAAAGTTGCTACTTTACATGATGATTAAGGATTTGCATTCACATTATGAAAATTCAAGTAATTACTGTTAAGGACCTTTGAAATAAACGTATTTAGATTATTTAAAAAGTCAATTTTAAATCACTTTTATATACTTTTCTTGAAAATGTACAAAATCAGAATATTTGAGAATAAAAAGAATAACTACAGGTGCTACAATAAAAGATCACAAAGTGACACTTCAACTTCTATCATTCATATACCTTTCCAGTTTAAACCTCCAAAGGCATGATGTTGGAGACAGATTTACCAGAAAGCACAAAATCCTACAAGATCATACATATATCTCTGAGACGAATATACACAGCACTGACCACATTTG